ATATCTAAATCTGTAAATATGAAAACGTCTGTCAAAAGTGCCACAGCAAAATAATCCAAATGACCCCGTAACCAGCCAAAAATAATAATAATAAAAAAAAAAAAAAATTATGAAAAAACTTTAAACATCACAAAGCAAAAACAAAACCATTCCCAAACAACAACCCTTCTCCCTTCCCCCTTCTCTGGACACCTAAGCACTGTTCTGCGTCTATTTTTATATATTCTTTTTTTTTTTGGTCAAGATGTTTTGAACCTCTTTGTAAGTTTTACAGCGCTCGCAGCTACTTAAGGTCATAATTATGAGCGCGTAAAACACACGTTGGTTGTTTTCTCGACAGTTCACAGCACTGTTTGGTTTTGTGGTAACAGTGTTTTGAACGTCTGAGCATGGTAATTGTTTTATTGAGCTTGTTGTTACCAAAGAAAAAGCTGTTTATGGCCAGGAAACAATCTGAATAATATATTTTTTCCCACTTACATGTACATGCAAAATGCTTCTTCGCTTGACAGAACGTGGACTTTCCTTTCTCAGCAAGCTCACACCCCACACCATCCCTATCCCCCCTCTCTATTTCTGTGTTTGTGCGTGTGTGTGTGTTTGAGAGAGTGAGAGATAGAAAGAGAGAGAGAGAGTGAGAAAAAGAGAGAGAGAATGACGAAGAGAGAGAGAGAGAGAGAGAGAGAGAGAGAGAGAGAGAGAGAGAGAGAGAGAGAGAGAGAGAGAGAGAAAGACAGAGAGAGAATGATAATTAGAGAGAGAGAATGAGAGAGAGAATGAGAGAGGGGTGTGTGTGTGTGTGTGTGTGTGTGTGTGTGTGTGTGTGTGTGTGTGTGTGTGTGTGTGTGTGTGTGTGTGTGTGTTTGTGTGTGTGTGTGTGTGTGTGTATGAGTGTGTATGTGTATGAGCGCGTATGTGTGTGCGTGCATGTCTGTTTGCGTGCGTGCATGAAGTAGGTGAATTGCTTTTTTTTTCTTTATTCAAATGCTGTAAATATTTTTCTTGTAAACCCAGTCATGTGTTCGTTCTATTGCAAAAGATTATCAAACTATGTTG